TCTACTGAGACCCAAACCTCGTCCATCTCCACTCTCTTCTAATTAGACCCAAACCTTGTCCATCTACACTCTCTTCTACTTAGACCCAAACCTCGTCCATCTCCACTCTCTTCTATTTAGACCCAAACCTCGTCCATCTCCACTCTCTTCTACTTAGACCCAAACCTCCTTCCTCCTCAATCTCTTCTACTTCAACCCAAACCTCCTCCAGGCCTTTTACTTTCTACTTAGACCCAAACCTCTTCCACCCCCTCTTTTTTCTACGTCACCCCAAACCTCCTTTAACCCGTGTTACATTATTATTGTATTTGACATATGATAGCAGTTGTATTGATGGTTGGTTTGTGTGGTATGATTAGAGCTGGAGGAAGAAAAGGCCTCCTATTCACTACCTTTGTCATCATGAAGGCTTTACTCTATCTTTCCTCGTCAACTCCTCCCATGCTCGCCTCCAGGACTTCTGTAGAGTCTCTCCCATGCTCTGGAACTTCTTACCCCAACCTGCCCGTCTATCTCCCACTCTGCCTTGAGGCGATCCCTAAAGACTCATCTCTTCAGGGAAGCCTATCCCACCTCAACCTAACCACTGAACCATCACATTCTCAAACAATTCATTTCCACACATCTACCTCCTCATGTATCACTGGCCCCTCCTCTTTTAGATTGTGGGCCCTCCTTACCATCTTGTCTTGTGACTGTAATGTCTTCCTTATATTGTAAAGCGCTGCGCACACTGTTGGCGCTATATAATTCCTGTATAATAATAATAATCTTTCCTGAATTTCTCAGAGACGGTCTGATATCAGGTCTTACCTTCGTGGTCTGTGTGTCGGGACGTGAGTGGGTTTGCGTGCTTGCCTCGCTTGTTCTGATAGTTGCCATCCTGGGTTTTCTCAGACTGTTGGCATCCCTGATGTGAAAGATGGTGGGCACAGCGTCCACTCTCAGCGCCTTCTTGGAAGCGCGGTCCAGGTAACACTGGGGTGTAAAATGAACGGAGCATAATCTGTAAGCGTCGGTTTTCTTGCCCTCCAGGACCTTTTGTGCGAACTCGTCCAGATCTCCGAAGTCCTGTCCCGTCTGCTGCAGCCACATCTTGATCCTCAGCAGGTTGCGAGGGAAGACGTGTAAAATGACTCCTTTCATGGTGTTGTGTTTGTTCTTCTTGCTGGTGCAACCAGCGACGATGCAGTTCGGCATAGCTGGCCCCTGTGGACAGGAAATCGTTCATCAACCAGAGCAGAAAGGTTACATAGCTGTGCTTTCCTATTAGAAGCCACATCAGTGCTGGGGACCCGAGGGATGTGCACATGCATACGCAGGCAGGGGCCCATGTGTGATGGAGAAGGAACTGCAGAGAGGGAAACATTGGTCCAATGATGTCTTATGTAGCAGTGACCACAGTTCATGGGGTGTGAAAGTCACATGTACGCACAGCAGGGGTCTCTGGGGGGGAGTGGCCACGCACCAAGAATGAGAGAGAGCATCAGATGTGAGGACATGATAGGACAATGCGACAGACCACAGGACACAGATACATGGCAGGACAGCGGGACAGACCACAGGACACAGATACATGGCAGGACAGCGGGACACGGATACATGGCAGGACAGCGGGACAGACCACAGGACACGGATACATGGCAGGACAGTGGAACAGATCACATGACGGGACAGATCACAGGACAGATCACATGACATGGGCACATGGCAGGACAGTGGGACAGATCATACGATAGGACATTGCAAATTGTTTTCTATCTTCTCACAGGACTCATGACATTAAAATATAAGTATATAAATATCCAAAGCGGCTTCACAATTAAAGGGCCAGTCCACCCAAGAGTGATATTGTAGTTCTCGGTGGGCTCCTGTCTTCTGGGTGGAATGATTGGGAAGACTACAAGTGCCACATGTTGGTGAGTGAAGCTCCAGAATCCAAAGGAGACACTAAATCATGAACTTACAACATCCATTGTAGAGCATTTCGTATCCCCACCCGGTGTGACCATCACCTACCTGTGCTGAGCCCCCCAACTTAGAGCGACGGTCTCCAGCGATCACCCCCCACTGACCTCTCCGCTCACTTGTTGTTGTCTCTGGATGGTCTAACCCAAAATGGCCGCAGAGGATGGGGAAAGGGGGCGGGGCAGTGACCTCAGAGCAGCAGACACGCCCCCTCCTTCAGCAGAGCAGTAACCCTTTTGCTGCCGGAGCAGATTCTCCACATTTGTAATGAAATGCACATTTTGGATGTAATAATACAAGCTTAGGATCTGCGGAATGAAAGGGAGCGACTCCCATCGTTACATCCCACGATGATTACAATGTATCTGAAGACAGGTTTAGTTTTGGATAAAGAATGTGTCCTGGGGACCCCCGGCATGGCTCTGCATCCATTGGGGGGAGGACTGCTCAGATTATGGAGGCACATGGGGCCCCCTAGGAGTCTCGGGGTGACACAGGGCGCACAGAGGCACATTTTGAGTCATGGGGTGCAATGCAGTCACCAGGTGACACAGGATGTTGTGGGGTGCATTCAGGAACATGGGGTGCAGTGGAGTCATGAGATGACACAGGATGTTGTGGGGTGCACTCAGGAATACAGGGCACACTGGAGTCACCTGATGCAGGATACTGGGGGGCATACTTGGAGTCATGGGGTGCACTGAAGTTACCAGATAATAAAGGAGGTTCTGACACTTGGGGACACTGGGGTGCAGAGAGTGCACTGGGGACACAGGACCTACAGGATGCACAACAGGGCCGTTACAGAGAACAATGGCAGCTGTAGATCTCCTCTCGTCCAATCACAGAACTCCTTGCATCTTTGTGAGTGGATGAGGAGAGAGGACGGGCGAGTGACTCCCCGCTTCACTATCTGGAACTGTCAGTCTCAGAGGCAGAAGCACATGACTGACAGTAGTATTGAGAAGCATTGTTGGGGACCAATGGCAGCCTCTGTATTCCTCTCAGTCCGGGGGCCCATTACTTAGGACCGCTGGGGGAGCTCGGTTTACCTCAGGGAGGCATGGCAGCACATCAGTGTGGCCACAAGGTCAGCCATGACGTGACCTCAAGAGCACAGAAGAGTACACAGCAGTATGTTGTATCCCATTGGAGTATGTTGTATCCCATTGGAGTATGTTGATCAGATCAGAGCCGTATTAAACAATATAGAAACCATTTTTGGTATTTTTTACTTCTATAAATAAATCGGACGGTTTGGCAAACATTAATACACAACTCGAGGTACCAGAAATACACCCCACATAAAGGGGTGCTCAGGTGACCCAATGAGTAACATCGGCAGAGGAGTACAAACTTGAATGAAGTCAATATACACAGCTTTATATATAAAGGAATGTAAGCTTCATGCCGTGCAGAGCTTGACAACCAGCGCTAACAAGCCCGTCCATGTGTCTGTTTTCCTCCCGGATGTCTCGTCATACTAGTACAGATGGGAAGAGGATGCAGTGATGTTCATTTCTTCATTGCTGCTGCTCTGTTTTAAAAGTTCTCAGCCCGGGTGCGTTTTTTGATGGGTTACTAGATTGGACTTTTGCGTGAAACCCTTCCCACACTCGGAGCACGAAAAAGGCTTTTCCCTGGTATGCGTCCTTTGATGCCTGGCCAGATCGGCGTTCTGTGCAAAGCATTTGCCACATTCGGAGCAGCAATACGGCTTCTCCCCCGTGTGTGTCCTCTGGTGCTTAACCAGCTCCGACTTCTGCAGGAAACATTTCCCGCACTCCGAGCAGGAGTACGGCTTCTGCCCCGCGTGAGCCTTCTCGTGCCGGACCAGAATGGACTTCTCCGAGAAGCGCTTCCCGCACAGGGAACATGAATACGGCCTCTCCCCCGCATGCATTCGCTGGTGAGTTTCCAGGTGGGACTTTTGAGAGTAACCCTTCCCACACGCCACGCAGGAAAAGGGATAGTGCCCCGTGTGGATCCTTTGGTGCTTAACCAGGTGAGACTGGTCTGTGAACAACTTGCCGCATTCCAAGCATGCATACGGCTTCTCCCCCGTGTGAATGCGTTGGTGTTTTACTAGGTCGGACTTCTGCGCAAAGCACTTCCCACACGCAGAACAGGAGAAGGGCTTTTCCCCCGTGTGAATCCTCTCGTGCTTTATGAAGTTAGACTTCCATTTGAAGCGCTTGCCGCACTGGGAACAAGAGAAATTGTTCATGCCGGAATGGCTCTTCAGGTGACCGGCGAGATGGGCCCTCTGCTTAAAACATTTCCCGCACTTAGAACACGAGTAAGGCTTTTGTTCGTTATGCGTCCTCTGGTGGGAGATAAGGTGCGCTCTGTGGAGGAAACATTTGTCACATTCAGGACACGGGAATGTATCAGCCACTCTACGAGCTGCAGGATGGGGAGCAGGAGGTGAGGCGTCAGGAGAACACCCTCGGAGCGTAGCAGGATCTAATGACTGGCTTAGGCCATGAGTAGCTGGATGGAAACCTTGGGTATAGAGGTCTTCTGGAGACTCTGCCATAACTTCATCATCGGGAAGGATAAGGGAGCATTCTTCTGCATTACAACTCTCGTGTTTGCCACCTGAAGAGAAGAAGAAGAAGAGGAGCGGGAAAAGGAACGCTTACTAAGGGCAAAAAAAGTTCTCAGAAAGTCAATGGAGATGAGAGGTGAATGGGGCGGGGCTCTCCATCTGCATCATCTCCAGTCTCTAGACAAATATAGGGAATCCCTCCCCATCCCCCTAAAAAAGCCTATAGCCATACATACCCAAAAAGACACAGTTCCACCAAGGTCCGAGTGGCTAGATAGGTCCTTGGTCACCATGTACCATGGCTTACCTGAGGAAATTGGCTGGCCAGTGTATCAGGAACGTTGATAGGGGCTCCCGAATATATGAAGTCCGCTCACAAGGAGTTTCTGGCAAACTAGGTTCGGAAGACAACATAGAAAGGCTGCATCATGAAGCTTTGAAGGACTGCTGATGAGGACAGTTGGAAAGCAGCTGAGGTTTGGTAAAGTAATGAGGAGGTCATCTAATGGGGAGATAACTGACCTGGGTATGCAGGAGGACTGAAAGAGTTCTCAAAACTGTACAATGTCAGAATAAGGGGAGTGAGGCTTGGAGGATAAGTGAGGAACATGCTGAGGTATGTTCTACAGAGCCTGATGGCTCCTCACTCCCCCCACTAAACACATTCTGTCCCCCCATTACTGTCTATTGACAGAGGAGGGGGGAGAAGAAGAGATTGATGCCCCCTGTACTGAGATGTATGAGAGACCCCAGAGAGTGTGTGTGGGGGGAGACTGGTCACATCTCTTGGCTGGTAACACACAATGACATGATGTGAGGAGGAGAGGCGGAGTCTAATAGAGGCTGATGGCTCCTGACTCCCCCCACTAGACATATTCCGTCCCCCCATTACTGTCTACTGACAGAGGAGAGGGGAGAAGAAGAGATTGTTGTAGTGACTGAACAAGGAGAATCTGGGACTCTTTTCTGGTTTTAGTGTTTATTCCTCACCTGTGCTCATCTCTGGAGGGATGTCCTCTTCCTTGTATGGTTCCTCATCAATCACATCAGGCTCCTCTTCATCTTCAGATTCAACTTTAATGACAAAAAGGTCTTCACGCTGTATGGAATACAAAGCGCAAAAATGTATTTATTGAGATGAAACTGTATAAGAGCATAAAGATAACAGGACCATGAACGCTTTCATCGCTACACATTGGTGAGTATCAGAATATTTAAGCATCTTACCTGATCATACTGAGACATCTCATCATGTTGCTGTGTGGAATTCCGGGAATACAGAGGACGAGTCTGAGGGAATTCCTGATGTTCCTGTGTGGAATCCCGGGAATACAGAGGACGGGCCTGAGGGATCTCATGATGTTCCTGTGTGGAATCCCGGGAATACAGAGGACGGGTCTGAGGGATCTCCTGATGTTCCTGTGTGGAATCCCGGGAATACAGAGGACTGGCCTGAGGTATCTCCTGATGTTCCTGGGTGGAATCTCGGGAATACAGAGGACGAGTTTGAGGGATCCCATGATGTTCCTGTGTGGAATCCCGGGAATACAGAGGACGGGGACATCTCTCTGGGGTATTCCTGTTCCTGGATCCATCTGTAGGAAACACACACACTGACTGAATACATTGTTTCTATGTCTTTATATCAGAGGATGTGTGTATCTAGGGGGATCCTCAATACTCAAGAAATGAAAGTCTCCTCTTACCCGGTGATGTGAGGCCCGGCCGGTTCTCCATCATGACGTCCTTGTAGAGATCCTTGTGTCCTCCTAGATACTCCCACTCCTCCATGGAGAAATAGACAGAGACATCCTGACACCTTATAGGAACCTGACACACACAATGATACAGTCACCACCCAGACACATCCCTTGTCTGTTCCTGGATCATGTCCCAGAATTCCCGGCACCGCTCACCTCTCCTGTCAGCAGCTCAATCATCTTCTGGGCAACTTCTAGGATCTTATCATTGTTGGGCTCCGATCTCAGGGAGCGAGATGGAGGATCCACGATAGGACTGTCGCTCCAGCACCATTCTCTGGAGTCAGCGGGATGGCTGTTAGGTGTCACATGATCATCAGATGTCTGCCTCAGCACTGCGTAATCCTGGGCATCAAACATACAGTGATGTAATGTTACTATTATACATTCTCTCCAAAGATTTCCAGCTGTTTTCTGGTTTCCTGTCAGGTCAGGGTATTGCCATGTGACCTCCCAGAATCCTCCTCACCTCTCCAGTCAGGTCTGTGTTTTATTATTAGAGATAAGTGACATCATGTGACCTCCCAGAATCCTCCTCACCTCTCCAGTCAGGTCTGCTTTAGTAATAGAGATGAGTAATGTCATGTGACCTCCCAGAACCCTCCTCACCTCTCCGGTCAGGTCTGTGTTTTATTACTAGAGATAAGAGTGATGTCATGTGACCTCCCAGAATCCTCCTCACCTCTCCGGTCAGCTCTGTGTTTTATGAATAAAGATAAGAGTGATGTCATGTGACCTCCCAGAATCCTCCTCACCTCTCCGGTCAGCTCTGTGTTTTATGAATAAAGATAAGAGTGATGTCATGTGACCTCCCAGAATCCTCCTCACCTCTCCGGTCAGCAGGTAGATGATCTCCAGGGTGAGGTCTAATATCCTTTTGGTAATCTTCTCCCTTTCCTTGCCCATTCTATGTAGATTGGCCATGATTCGGGAAGTAGACTTTGGTTCCCCTGGTCAGGAGAGTTCAGAAGACAATAGAATCACCTAGTTAGGCATTTCACAACTTTACGTACACAATAAAAGTATGTGAACACCTAGGGTTGCCACCTTTTCTTCAGGCCAAACCCGAACACTATAGCGCTTCACGGCAATTTGTTTGTACAGTATACACTATGCATGTATTTTGTAAATAAACGATATTTGAGTTAATCACAACTTGCCAGTATGCCGCAGGTCCCCAGATATGCATTCTGTAGATAAGTGTACAAAGCAGTACCCATATACCTTGCCGCAGTTCTTACCAGATATGCCAAAAGTAACGGGTGCCGGTAATGACTGCGGATGGCGCTGCTCACAACAGAACAACAATACAGATGTCTCCAGCACACCGGCACCAAGATCCCATGTTACTGCAAATCCATTTTATTGATAGTTGTCATTCCTAAGACAAGCACTTTCTGGGCTGCGCTGCGTCCCCTTCATCAGGCTCAGAAATTATATTCTATTATGTCCATATAAAAGTTGTGGCCCTTTTATGTAATGTTATTTCTGAGCCTGATGAAGGGGACCCGGCGCGGCCCAGAAAGCGCTTGTCGTTTGAATGACAACTACCAATAAAATGGATTTGCAGTAACATGGGATCTTGGTACCGGTGACATCTCTTTTGGAGTTCAGATATGTACTATTGCACATAAAAGATGCTCCCACAAAAGATGTCACAGGTTACTTGTGGCATTTTTTATGGGGGCACGTTTTATGGTCTATACTACCCCCCCCCC